TTTTGTTTTTTGTCACTATAACACAGTGTCATTTTATGTTATGAAGGTCATAATTATTTGGCACAATGGCATGTGTTACAATTAAAAACAAATCAATTTAAAAGTAAAAGGCACCCCTAAAGTCATTGGATATGATAAATTGTGTCACATTAATTAACCTTATCTCAGCTGTAGCAGTGAGTTTAAAAACAGGATGATGGAACTAGTTCATCGAAGAATCTGTCTCTGAAATAGTTATTAAATCAAGTGTTCATTTATGTAGGAAAAGGTATGTTAAACAACCTGGTAAAATACACCAAAATGCTGGAAAGGACATCAATTTTGTTCAAAATTTTCTGGGGGAGGACCCCCAGACCCCCCAAGTGTGTCCCCCACTCAAAATGATTAGGATATCCATGTTTTTTATGTTCTCACTGCCTGTATAAAAACATAAGGAAATGACCAAAACACAAAGATCTGCAGACAACTTTTAAGTAAAAAAATTATGTAATTTTCCTGGCCACTCCTGTGTGAGTAGTGGTCCCCGTCTGGCCACCTCTGAGAAAAATGTCTGGCTCCACCACTGCATACGATGTTCATCGATACAAAGTCTGTCATGAGACGATTTCAATTGAATTCAATTCAGAAATCTGAGATCGATATATTGACCCACATCGGGCATATACTGTACAGTATGAAACTATTTTTTAATTTTGAAATTATTAAATGTGTAATTGATACATTGATGTAGACTGATGTATTGTTACACCCCAGTGGGTACTTGTGTGTGTGCAGCATCAAACCTGGATCCTCCATCCTTCACACCAGGGACGAACACAGAGACAGGGGGAGACACCGACTTGTGTTGCTGACTCTGCAGGCGAGCAGCTTTTTAATGCTCCAGCTTCTTGCTCACTTTCCCCTCACAGAGGAGCTGCCAGCGAAAGGAACAGCAGCAGCCATGTCACAGAGTGCACACCTCTGCGCAAGTTCAGTGAACGCTTCACCTGAAATCCCTGAGCTGTTTGACACGTGTCCAATTAGGACCCAACGCTATTTAAGCTGGAGAGGGGAACCCTATGTCAACCTCATCTTTTAACCCACTGATGAAAGCTTTAAACAAGAAAAGGAGTAAAAAAAAATAGTGAAAACATGAGGGTGGTTTTACTGGGCTTGAAGCCTCTGGAGAGAAGTGTGCTAACATGAGTCACAGACAGCACCACTTGCTATGCTTTCAATCCAGTGAAGCGCAGAGACTTGCTATTAAAAGACCACACTCCCTCCTATAATTGATCTGCTACAACAGTTTACTCCACCTGGACAGACTGTAAGCTCAGAGAATATGCTGGCACAACTGCTAATTGTGGACCCGGTAATTCAGTCTAATGGGACAAAATACACTGTAAAAACAAGTCGTCAATTAAAGCTACACTAGATATCACAAATAGAGATGAAACAGAGGATGCTCTGCTCCACTCTGCATCTGCTGATACAATTACAGCCTTCATTATGGCTCATGCATTTGGAAAATTATACACACAGGTGGCTGATTGGTTGGCTGAGGTTTGGCTTCTAATCACACCACTTTCCACTAAGAGAGATAATCAAGGACGGGGCAAATCGGGTCACCTCTGCCTGTAATTTATTGCCAAAGCCAGTCGCTCCTTTGCTAATGGCATCTGTGCAGAGATGGTGTAATTTCCAGGTCTCCAGCCATGCCAGTCAATGACAACATGAACACAAGCACCCTCACTGTTATGTTGGGCACCCCCCACTTGCTGGAAAGCTGTCGACTCCACTTCTGCGTTTGAAGTTAACACGGAGAGGGGGCGGCTGGCGTAGCGATGCCGACCACATCTCTTTCCGCCTACATTCAGAGCGAGAGTAGCCAGAAGGAAATAAATCGATATAGTTGGCAGCGGTTGTCCTTTTGCCCTTTCGATGCTTCTGCATAAACAGAGCCACTTTGCAGTCTTGAACTCACACTAAACACTCTCACTTTCTCACTTCATTAAACAGCAGCATCAGGGCCGGAGGCCGTGTGAAGTTAGAGACTGTTTTAGTGTGGACGGCTGCTCTGAAAAATCGACTGAAATAGAAAATGAGCACCGGCCTGAGAGAAGAATGTCTGAAAACTTATCTTCTAAATCCAGTGTTTTTCTTTTAAGAGGATGGTCAGGATTGAGGCCAGCAACCACAAGGTCAGTTAAAATTCCATGGAAGTATATTAAGACAGCCATCTGTCACTGCTCAAAGATTCACAACCCTGTGGGAATGTGGGGAGACGAACCGTGGGTTTTAGGAGGAGATTCATCTTGTAAATCAGCCCGCAAAAAAGAAAGAAAGAAAGAAAGAAAGAAAGAAAGAAAGAAAGAAAGAAAGAAAGAAAGAAAGAAAGAAAGAAAGAAAGAAAGAAAG